AATAAGATTTAAACTGCTTTTGAAAATATTTTTATGTTTTGTTTAATACTTTCTTTAAGTCTGTGACAAGTTCTTTTTGTTCCTTCCTATATAATAATCAAAATTTCTAAATAGTCGATTAAAAGAAACACAATTACCGCGTATTCAAACGACAGATCCGGTTGCAAAATATTACGGATTGAAGAGGGGACAGGTTTGTGATCTTTTTATTTTGGAGGCATATTTATTATTAAAAATAAAAATTTAACGATTTTGTTAATAGGTGGTTAAAATTATAAGATCATCCGAGACCAGTGGACGTTACGTGACTTATCGTCTTTGTTTCTAGTAGAGTTTAGAACCGGGTTATAATAAATCGGGTCACCCGTGTCAAAATGGTCAACCGAATCAAAATTTTACAACTTAGGTCCAAACGGTTGAATATGTAACCTCTAAAAATCTGTTACTATTACACAGAAAACATAACAAAATTTAATACATTATTGTATTGTGAATAAACATCCTTTTTTTCTTACTAATTTATCTAAATGTTCAATCCTGCTAATTTACAAACTTTTGGAGGCTACTATACGGACTATCTATTACCGGTACGAAAATTTTATTGGAATTTTTCTTTGCATAACTCTTCATTATTATTTTCTTTGCTTGGCTAGTACCGTAATTTGCTCTATAAACCACCCGGGGTCTCTTACATTTCACCCTCTTATTTAAAAGAAAATTATTAGTAAAAAATCACGTGGGGTCTACTATAAAGGGGGTGGTTTATATGATGTGTAATACACTGTATTCGACCTCGATAGTATCCCGGGATTCGTAGTGCTGGGGTTCGGGTTATGTAACGTGATCGCGTTGCAAATAAACCCACCTTAAAATTTACTTTCTTGAATTGCTTTTTTTTCACTTTAGCAGGTTTGCTAGTGATTTTTTATTCTAGATTAATCTGCATAGTATTTTACAAATTGTTGAGCTAGAAAATATTCAAACCTGACATTCTACAGTTACTTTTACTGTATGAGTATTTTCAAGTAAACTACTGCACTGGGTTAATTACAAACTCAGAAAGCACATCTGGTACTGTTTTACAATAAGATACTATCAATCTGATGATATTTTTTTATAGAGAAGTGAAAAGAAGAAAAAATTATATAAAAAACAAAAACAGAGATATAAAAAAATATAATAAAAGAGGTTTGGATCATAGCTTATTAGTTAAGTTTTTAAACTTTTACAGACAAGGTTGACAGTTCAAGTCAGGCTAAAGGCAAATTATTTAATTTGTTTCTGTAACCTTAGGGGATTACAATTGAATATAAAGCTTTGTAGCTAAATTCAAATGCAGTATAAAGCTGAAATAGAAATTTTCAGAAGGAAATTCAAATATAAAGAGTGAATATTACATATAATTGCAGTATTACAAAAAAATATAGTTATGAAAATTGTGTACTGTATATAGGGTTGTTAAATTACCGTAATTTTCAATTTTTTTGGTAAATTACCTGAGCTATTCGGTAAATTACCCGTAAATTTACCTTTAGTTATTTTGAATAACAAAGTTTGTACAACATAAATCATGTGATTTGATGCCTAAAAAATTTTTTAGCCAATCAAATTATATAATTTGACGATAGATCTATGTATATAAGGTAAATTCACCATACTTTCGGTAAATTACCTGGTAAATTACCGTAATTTACCAATGGTAATTTACCACCTGACAACCCTGGGTATATCCCAATATTTTGCTGATATGTTACTGATATTGACTATTTTACCGATATGCTTCTATATAATATACTGTCGATCTGCAGATTTGGAATAGACTATCGGTGATATTTTCTCCCGATATTTACCCGTTGATCATTGAATCGACCTGTGCTAAGTATGCAAAGGATGTGCATGTTTCATAGAGCGATGTTTCCAGAAAAGATGTGTATTTTTAATGAATAAATTGCGACTTTAATGAATTATGTAACAAGTTACTATTTTTGAGTGCGTTCACACCTGAAAATGAGCATGAATGCCGAGATTCACGGGATTAAATTTGACAGATATAAATTTACTTCTGTGATGTTCTGTGATAGTCTATCTAGTAAATTATTAACGTCAGGTTTTGGTAACTTACGATAAGATTTATAAATTGTAATAACTCAACAGTTTTGCACCTAACAGCTATTAATTCTATGTGCATGCGTATCTACGCACGATAAAACATGAAGATAACACATCACAGTTAAAAATTTATAATATGCAATCGGTCGAGGTTTTCAATAAATTCCGAAAGAATGGAAAAGATCGTTATAAGATTGCCGATAATTAATGCAGTCATCGGCATAATATGTTCGAATACAGATCTACCTTGTGAAAATGTTTTGTGCAGTATTGATTATTATATTTAATGCTATGTGCCGCACGCTAACATATTAAATTGTAATAATCATGTCTATAGCATCATCACATTTTCGAAAAGAATGTTTGACCATAAAAGCACGCACTGGCTCTTTAATAACCGTATTTAATTATTTTGCTAGATTTAGCAACGAAACTGAAGATTATGGTGAATGCTTTGATTGCTGCAAAAAAAATACAGGTTTCAACTGGTGTCGAAATTGTATCTCACAACATTTTTGGCAATGTTTCGTGAATTGGTCAAGTGGAAATCGTGAGATAGACAAATTTATTCAGAATTCCCAAATTCACGCTACATCAAGAGATCGTGTTTTTGAATGGATTCCATATGATCAACTAACAAATTTTAAAATTATTGGAAAGGGTGGTTTTGGTGTCGTTCAACAGTCTACATGGTTAGAAGGACAGATTGATCAGATCATAGGTTGGAATTCTTTACGGAAACAATGTGAAAGGCATGGCAAAACAAGAGTTGCCGTAAAAATTTTAGATTATTCTAGAAAAATGACTGCAGATTTTTTAACCGAGGTGCGTGCTTATCTCCTTAGATCGATGACATATTGCATCTTTAATGCACTTTTCTGATATTCATTTATTTTTTTTAAGATGATTCCACAAATCCGATACGAACCTGCTATTCCTAATAGCTTGGTATTTCATCTGATAAGATATCTTGGAATTTCAAAAAATCCTGCTACGCAAGAATATGCAATTGTAATGCAATATGCAGAAGGTGGAAATCTTCGAAACTATTTGGAAATGAATTATTCTACATTAAATTGGGAAAGAAAATTATTTATGCTGCAATATATTGCAGAAGGAATAACAATCTTACATGAAGAAAGTTTACTACATCGAAATCTGCACAGTGGTAATATTCTTATTCATAAAGACATTCCCTTGATTGGTGATGTCGGTTTTTGTCGTCCTGTAGATAAATTGATTCAATCAGAGGATAAAGAAACATATGGAGTTATGCCATTTATGGCGCCCGAACTTTTGAGGACTGGCAAATATACAAAAGAAACAGATATTTATGGTTTTGGTTTAATAATGTGGGAAGTATGTGCACATCGGCCACCATTCAATGAACGTCCTCACGATAACAATCTTGCCATGGAAATATGTCTAGGAGAACGGCCACTAATTGGAAAAGGAACACCAGAAACACTTGCTGCGCTGATTAAAAAATGTTGGGATGGGAATCCAAATAATAGACCAACCGCTAATGAATTATTTCTCATTCTCAAATCATGGTATTCAGACCTATCACAAGAAAGTCCGACAGAGTATTATTTTGAATTCAAAGCTGCAGATAAAATCAGACAAGATATGTTACAAGAGATAACAGAACCATGTTCCATTAAAAATCATTCTGAAGCACATTATCAAAGTAGAAAAGTTACTTTTACGAATTTTCCAGGAGCAATCAATGATTCATCAATTGGTCAGTGCATATTTTTAATTTCACTATATATATAGTGTTTAGGTTTGTTTAGATATATGTAGTATATGTGTAATAATGTTTTACAAAACTGAATTAGAGTATTTTTTGTAAAATAATATACTTATTGTTAAATAAATAATACAGATATATAACTTACTTCGTGAAATTTAAATTAAAAGTTATTATTAAACTGAATTAATGTACAGTAAAAAAATTTTTAAAAGTTTATGAGTAATAAACTTTATCTGGATATAGCTGGTAATTTATCTGAAGTATGATCAACATTTTTTCCAGAGTATTTTAACAACCAATTAAAATGAACTTCTGCTATGCTTAAAAATATATATGTCTATTATATACAAACTATACATGCCACCGAAATAGATTTTCAAAAAACTCCTATTTTGTCTCTATTAGAGCAATTTAGAATTTTTTATATGCAAGAGCAAATCTAATTTAGATAGTTATATTCTTTATAATTTTGTCTCTTCAAAAAAAGTGTCAAATTTTTGTTTTTTAAGTAAAATAGGTCATAAACAATTTTGCCTTCAAATTTTAATTTCATACTCTGAAACCTAAAATAATTTCGTCAGTATGTATAATACAAATATATTTATAATTATAACTTTATATATATTTTAACTATAATCAAAAACCCATTTACAAACTCTTTTCAACGATTCTCTAGCACAAGTCCAAAAATCTGAACTACAGTCAGCATTATAGAAGACATCAAAGGGTTATAATATACTTGATTCTACACAAATAGATGTGTTGTCAACAAAGTACCAAGAGTGTAAAACCAAGGAGCAAACTACTTTGGACAGTTTTTGTAAAGGTTAAGCTTTCTTGCTAGTAAACTCCTCTATTATATTCAGCATCCAAACCAGAAAGATATTCTGAGAATAAAGAATGACTAGGTTAATACTAAGCATATTAAAAAACTAGAGATAGTTTCTATATAACTATAAAACTTACAAGGAAGAACCTACAAAGTTTC